GTCAACCTATAGACGCGTATTTTTAGGACCTAATCTTGCGGCACGCGATAGAACGGTTAAGCAACGAAACGTATCTCGATGTATGGAAAAATTTTGACCAAGACTACAACCGTACGTTCGTGGAAGTAATATCAGTCTTGCCAGAAATCAATTGACCGCGATTCGATCGATCTTGGGAAATAATTTATTTTTACATTTTCTTAATAAATTTTCGTACAACGTACGTTCGACGTTGATTACAGCAGACGTTACAGCACCGTATACATTTATAGAAAATAGCGTTTTACATAGAGAAAGAAGAAAACGAAAGTTCGACGGGAGGATAATGCGTTCGAATAAAACTGGATGCGTCGTCTAGTCTTTTCTGGAGCAACGGAATGAGCATGCATGATCAATAAACATGGCTTACCATCGCAGCACGCAGAGGCGCGAGGAATGATGTGTGAACTGTGTAAAATATATACAATATGTAATTATGTAAATATAAATGGTGCATACGAGGAAACAAAAGTCATTGCGTGTAGAACGTAATTAGAAAACATTATGTACGCTCGACGAGGCGTCCCGTATATGCGACACAATTGCGAAACGAAACGTTTCGCGAACGGAACGTCTCGAATCGTCTAGATCGGACGCGAGGCTTGGCCAATATAACTTGACGTCGGTATAAAAAAGACCGTGAAGGATATTCTTTCGAAGGTACTATAGAAAATCATCGAACGTAATCGCGGAAAGGCGCATCGCACGTATAACTAGTTTCACGGCAATCGAGGAGAGGCGCTAGTTGTCCATTTCTGGAGCTTTCTGAAAATCTGCGCCGGCTCGAGGCTCAACGTTCGCACGAAATCATTGCGTATTTTTGCGGGCACGACAGAATAATTCCCGAGAAGTAAAACAAGTATCACTATTCTCTGGTGAAGCGTTATGGATCAGGTAAACGTTTTTCATCAATTTCATCGTGGTTATGTGTCCCTCGCGGTCGTTGCAACGGAATTTTCGAAAACACTGTATTCCCCTGCGATTATGTTGATTGCACGCGTTTATCCTAAAAAAGATCGTCGCACTTCCCTCGCTCGCCGTGCCGCACGAAAACTTTTCTGAAAATGTTTCGTCCGTATTAGCCGTGAGATTGCGATCTTCCGTTGTAACTTGAAAGTTTATTTCAATTATCATGATCGTTTATTAGTCGCACCGGAAATTCTCGTCACTGTTTCCTTCCACAAGACACGGTTTTCGAACCTCTATAATTAACGTTTGAGTTTTGGTGTAGATAGTTTTATAAAGGTTTAACATTATATTCTTCAATCTCTGAAACAATTTATAGGTTACTGTGTTAAAAGAGAAAGGGAATTCTGCTTTGCAAGACGAAGAGTTTGAGGAGGCTATTAAACATTACACTGACGCAATTGCCTTAGACGAAAACAATCATCTGCTCTACAGTAATAGATCCGCTGCGTACGCAAAGGCTGGGAAATTTGAACAAGCCTTGAAAGATGCGGAAAAAACTGTGGCTTTGAAACCGGATTGGGCTAAAGGTTATTCTCGTAAGGGTAGTGCTCTTGCTTACATGGGTAAATTAGACGAATCTATTAGTGCTTATAAGGCTGGCCTACAATTAGAACCAGACAATGCTCAACTTAAGAGTGGTTTGGCTGAAGTCTCAGCTCAAAAAGTAATTCGTAATCCCTTCAATACACCTGGTATATTTACAAAACTCGCGAATGATCCTAGAACCAAAGATTTCTTGCAAGATCCAGAATATTTGAAACTTCTGCAACAGTTTCAAACCAATCCACTTGGGATGAAAGATCCCAGACTACTTACAACGCTTAGCGTATTATTAGGTCGAAATATAGAAGAGGATGAACCTATGGATACAGATCCCCCTCAATCTTCGGAATCTCCAAAGCCTAAACAAGAATCACCTAAACCAGAAAAGAAAGAAGAGGATAATCTTCCACCTGAAGTGAAAGAGGCATTGAAAGAAAAGCAATTGGGTAACAATGCATATAAGAAGAAGAACTTCGAAGAAGCTCTCAAACATTATAATAAAGCGGTAGAATTAGACCCCACAGAAATTGTTTACTTATTGAATATAGCAGCAGTATATTTCGAACAGAAAGAATATGAGAAATGTATTGCTCAATGTGAGGAAGCTATTGTAGTCGGAAGAGAGAATAGAGCTGACTTTAAATTAATAGCAAAAGCATTTACTAGAATTGGTCATGCATATAAAAAGATGGAGAATTGGAAGCAGGCTAAGGTCTATTATGAAAAATCTATGTCAGAACATAGAACACCAGAGATTAAAACTCTTCTTTCAGACATTGATAAAATCATTAAGGAAGAAGAAAGAAAAGCATACATTGATCCTGTTAAAGCAGAAGAAGAGAAAGAACTTGGAAATGAAAAGTACAAAAATGGAGATTATCCTGGAGCAATAAAACATTATACAGAAGCCATTAAAAGAAATCCTGATGATCCTAAATATTATAGTAACAGAGCAGCCTGTTATACTAAATTAGCAGCATTTGATCTCGGATTGAAAGACTGTGAAAAATGTATTGAAATTGACAAAAAATTCATCAAAGGTTGGATCAGGAAAGGAAAGATTTTGCAAGGTATGCAACAACAAAGAAAAGCCCTCACTGCCTATCAGAAAGCATTAGAGTTGGATCCCTCAAATAGCGAAGCATTGGAGGGATACCGATCCTGTGCAGTTTCTGTTAGTTCTAATCCAGAGGAAGTTAGAAAGAGAGCAATGGCAGATCCAGAAGTTCAAAGCATATTACGTGATCCTGCTATGAGACTTATCTTAGAGCAGATGCAAAGTGATCCTAGGGCTTTGCAAGAGTAAGTATTAAATAATATTTATTTTATTCTGTGAATCCTGATATTATTGTATTAAATTTATAATAATGCTACTAATCCTTGTACTTTCAGTCATCTGAAGAATCCTGTTATAGCTGCAAAGTTGCAAAAACTCTTGGAATCGGGTATTATTGCTATTCATTGAGAACAAAAACGTTTATACTTGTGCATTGCTTTACGCATGACATTTTATTGTCACCAAGTTCCTTTGTTACTAAGGAAATTATGCCGTTCAATCTCTTTTTGTGTATTAAAACTATGTTATTCATCGTATAGGTAGCTTAACGATCTATTCGTTGTATCTAGTTTTTACTTTTTAAGCGCTACACCTTTGGTTTAAAATACTGATACTGTAATAATAAAGAAAAACAACAATAGCGATAAATACAATGTAATTATAGGATACTTCTGTGATTTATTTAATATCAATTTCAATATAAAAGTGCGATTGAAAGTATGAATATTTGCAATCTCTTCAATAATTTTCACGACATAATATTGAAACATTTATTTACATTTTTTTTTTTAATTTGCTTCGATT